GTGCCTTGCGCCACTTTTCCTTCTTCACTTTTGCCATTCAACATTTTCTCGTTTCAACTTTGCTGTGTGTGTGTGTGTGTGTTTTTTTTGCGCTTGTGTGCTTTTTTTTTCATTTTAATTGATTTCGCTTAAGTCTCATAATCGTGACACTTTGGCGCCTTTTAATTTGATTTTATTGGCCCTCAGCATGCCAGGCAGGCCCGCGGCAGGTCAGAGGGGGCCGCTTGAGTCGGTTGAGATGTGGCGGGTTGGGGTTTCGAGTCGGGTCGGGTCGGGTCGGGTCGAGTCCTGGCTGGCACGGGGTTCAACTCGTTCAACCCGCGTCAATTGGCGGCGTTTTATGACGGCGGCCTCGGCGGCGGACTTTATTATTGTGTAAAATAAAAACATTGAAACAAAAATGGGAGGAAGCAAGCGGGACGGGGCATTGTTCGCATTCCTCTCCGGCAGATATTTGATGCCTTTTTGCGTTTTGTTCTGTTTGTTGTCCTTTTTTTTTTCTTGCTGTTTTCATTTGCCTTAGCGCCGCCTACATTCTCGTTTTAATTTGCGTAATTGAGTGGCTCGTTTTAATTTGCATTTCCCGTTTGCCCTTCCTGCCTTCCTTCTCTTTGGGCATTGGGCCACATTGGGCCACATTGGGCCTGTGAAGATGCTCCTTTTGTGGCAGCCCATCGCAGCCAGCACTTGGACACAGCTTGGACGCCGCCACAGAGACTTCGCTCCACGGCTGGGCCGCAGCAGCAAGGAGTGCTAAGCGTAGAAAAAAAGGAGCAGCTGGGCCAGGAGTTGCTGCCTTTACCCCAATGAAAATGACAAACTGCCAATGGGTTCTGGTTCTGGTTCTGCTTCTGGCTGTGATTCTCTTTCTGCTGCTGGCCAGAATTCCTTGTCTCAGATTCTATTTCGGTATGTCTAAATCAATTTCTGGCCACAGCCTTCGACTGCGAAACATTTGACAAAAGTTGCCCACAAACAGTCAAGGACAAATTACATTTAATTTAATTTCGAGCTTCATCCCTTAGCACCCCTCCCCCCCCAACCTGGGCCCAGCTCCAGCTCCAGTTTCAGTTTCCAGTTCCTGTCCGAGCTGCTGTCGAGCGAGTCCTCCATCTACCTGACACTCTCGATTCCTCGATGGCTTCCGTCCCTGTGACCCATTGAAGCGTTTAGCCATCCATCAGTCGTCGCCGGCTTTGGCTGTGGGCTCTGTCCTGTGATGTCCTGTCCTGTCGTGTCCTACCAGCACGGACACGGGCCGCCTAACTGATGATGAAGTTGCTCACTCAAGCGCCAACGCCAAGCCACGCCCCATGAAAATTCATTCGCTCAGTCAATCCCATTGATTCCGTCCACCTCCTCCCTCATTTTGGGAATGGGAGCTCCAAGCTGGCAGGACATTTAATTTATTAAAGAATTTGTAAAGCAATAAGTTTGTATCCCATTGCCCCCGTCCTACCTGCCTGCTCTCTCCTGTCCCTCTCTCGCCGTTCTATTCCACCCAGTCGGGAGTCGATAATCGTTTTCATTAAGCCCAACGACAGGGGGCCAGGACACGGCGGCTTAATTGCTCCATCCGCCCATCCCCCAATCCACTCCACTCCACTCCAGTCCATCCCCAAGCATCACTCAAATGGACAGTCGCACTAAGCGACACTTTTTAATTAAAACGTAAAAACGAGTGGCGTGGAGCTTGGCAAAGTCTTCTCGAATGCCTTGGCTTGGCTGATGAGCCAGCTGGAACTCCAGACGAGACTTCGGAGCTGCGACTTGGGACTCGAGACCACAAAAATTCAATCAAATCGCAGCGAGAGAGAGAGAGAGCGAGAGAGAGCATCATTAAGCGGAACCCAAGGAGAGAGGAGGAAAGCTGACTTTGGCTTTGGTTAAAGTTTCCCCTTGGCCACTGACCCTGGCACGTTACGTTATTAGGCGACGTAAGACGTAAGGCCACAGTGCAACCTTTTCATCTGTTTCCCCGAGGGATCCTTGTTCTCTCTGTTTGAGCAGCTCTTTTCACCTGCAACACCCCCCACCCACCGCTATCTATGTGTAACACCTGCATCCTTCATTGCTAATGAGGTTACATCAGAGATGATGATTCGTTGCGGCCTGCTGCTGTTCAATCCGCATCTTCGGACCACAACAATCCAATCAAATGGCAACGCATCAGCCCATCCCCCAACCCAAAACCCCCAATCCCCCATCCACTTGGTATCCAATCTCTTGGCCAGGGATCATTAGGCAACATTCAGCAAAGGGGTTTTGGCTCGCAACGTGGGCCAAAGGGGGAAGGGGGTTAACATTGCAACTGCTGCTGCTGCTGCTGCTGCTGCTACGGGGGTGTGGCGCGGGGGTGGTATCCGTGTATCCGTATCATCGCTTCACCTTCATGTTGCGGCTGCTCATTTGCGTAATGCACAAATTTAATTTACGAAAACGCGGCAGAGGGAAAAAGATGCTGCTGCTGCCTGGCCAACTTTTTACCCTTTCCCACTGTATCCACCCCAGCCCCCCCCCCCATGTCTTCACCCTTCTTAACCTTATTTCTTCGTGGCTTGAACCAACTCCCCTCCACGCACTCCCTCTCGCTCGCTCTCTCTCTCTTCCTGCTCTTTGGCAGAACTTTCTCCACGGAACATCAACGACGGAACGCGCTTACCCGCAACGCATTCTGTGCGGTCCGGAGTGCCCGCTGACCTCCGTTCCCCCCCCCCCCCCACTGTTGGCCACAGAATTTAAGGGGGGAAAAAGCTTACGTTAATTGTGTGTATCCTCCTCCAGCTGCGTGGCAAGTGCCCTGGACGTGGGTCTGGGTCTCGTCTTGGCTCCTCCCGAAACAGTGGGGGAGAGCAACAGGAAGCACCGCGGCGATGCCAGGGTGCTCATTTTAATCAATTTTTAATTTAAATTTAATAGAGTAACACGCTTGGTGGGATGGATGAGTGGGGGTGGTCTGTATGTGTGTCTGTGTGTGTGTGTGGCAAATTGACTGAGGCTCCATCCACTGGCACAGGGTGCAGCCGCGCCACTCCGCTCCTTCTGTCGCAGCACATTGGTGTCATTTTACACGCATTCCTAGGTAAATAATCTTCAGAGCGTCACTAATGCGATGACTTTGTGCCACAGCAGAGAGAGAGAGAGAGAGTGGAGTGTGGAGTGTGGAGTATATTGAGAGGATTGAGCGGATTGTGAGGGGTGCGGCAATGTAAATTTGCCCACAGAGTGGGACTGCAATGTGGGTTAAGGTGTCACAGAGCACGAAGCGATATTTAAAGGATTAAGTGATTTCCCTGAAAATGAACACAATCCCTGCCAAGGTGCGGCAACAGCATCGATTCGTCCGGCCTTGGTTGCCACAGCGTTTTCCAGGCCAGGCCAGGCCAGGCCAGGCCAGGACGTGGGCGTCTCGGGTGGGCTCTGGCAAATTGCGTGTTATTTTGACCATTATGCTGCCATGGCAAGCAAGCAAGGACTGGGACGTGGGACGTGGCATGGAGAGGGCTTAACGTAATTCAATTTATGGCCCCGCCTCCGCAGCTCTCTCTCTCTCTCTCTCTCTTTGCTGTTGCAGCACCCAAAGCTGGACTGTGGACTGTGGCCTGTCAATTGGTTATTTATGCGAGCTTTTTAGATTTTGGCGGTTAATTAAAGCACATTATGCCTTAATTGCTAGATTAAAATGCCTTTTTGGGCCAGAGAGAGAGAGACAGACAGAGAGAGAGAGAGATGGCAGATGGTGGATGGTGGATGAAGTGGCGTGTGGGGGGGGGAGCTTGGGGCAGGTCCCGACCTTTTCTCGCTTTTGTTAGTTGCTTTTTAATGACTCGAAATTAGTTGCAAATTGGAGGGAAGCCCAGGCCAAGGGTCGGCTCTTTTGTGTCCTTTTTTTGATGAGCAGGAGGCAGTGTGGGCGAGAGGAGAGTTATATTCCCACTTGATTCCCTCAATCAATGCATTCCCTGGGGCACTCTCGGGGCTCGGACTTTGAGCGGCCAATGCAGCTGTCATTTGTCAGGCCACCTTTTGATGGACATGGAAATGGAAATGGAAATGCAAGTGAGGAATGGGAAAGGGAATGTGAATGTGGGAGTGGGTGCTAGGCCCAAACTGCATTTGTCCACTTTGATTGTCATGATTGCATTTCTTTTTGTGCGTGTCTCTGTAGCTCTCTCTCTGTGTGTCAGTGGGTGTCAGTCCTGCCTGGCAGTGTGTACGTGACAATGGCAGAAAGTCAGACAGCAGCTGGGGCCCTGCTGGCCCTCCTGTCAGGACAGAGCCGACAACACAACAGGCAGCTGTATGCCGGGAGATGGCAGCCCGCGTATAATGATATTAGTCCACGACTAATGTATGCAAGCTCCTCTAATAAGCGCACTGCACATTATTAGTTATTAATTAGTCAGGTGAATCGGCCCTCGCTAGGGTCGGCCTGTCGCTTCTCCCCTCCCAGCCCTCTCCCTGCCATGCATGCACCGTGGCAGCCCTGTCGGGGCACTTCCCCCGGGGCAAAGTGTGCCCAGGCTTTTGTTGGAAGAGCCAACCGCATTGAACTACGACTACAATGGCCTGCGGCGGGTGTGCCTTTTCCCTTCCCTTCTCGTTCTTTTTTTATTTTGGAGGGAGCTCTGGCCGCAGCACTGCGCGGTACAACATACTGAATATTGAATTATCAGAAATGAGCTAATTGAAAAACTCAGTTCGCACCCACACACACACACACACACACACCTAACGGCGCAATTCATCACGTAACGTGTGATGTAAATTGACAGGTAACACGCCGTATGGCCGAGCACCCACCATCAGACCATCGGACCATCGAGAGCGCTGTCCGAAATGCACTCACCGAAAGGGTTTCACATAGGGGTTGCAAATGCACAGGGTTCACAGGGGATGGGGCAGAGCCATCAAGCGAATTATTACAGCAGAGACACACAGTAAGTCGAAAATGTTTGCATCCGTCCTGAAAGCGTAGTCCGAACACCCAGTAGCTGGCGCACGATTAAGTTTGTATATTTTAGACATCCTGCTGCTAAAGATTTACAGTTTACATATGTAATTCTCTGAGTCTCTCTGTGATATGGTGATGGAAAACTATATCCAGTATTTATAGCAGACGGACGTACAATAAATTGAATAATTATGACAAAGAACATATGTCAGATTCTTGTACTGAAGGTGCTTGGCCTTGCCTGAAATCACCTTGCGTATGTCGGATAGCCAGATCTTGGGGGTGTGATACGGGTTCTTTAGAGTGGAGATGACTTTCTTCTTGGACTTGAAGGCCAGGAAATTCTCGTAGGCGGCCTGCTTGTTCGCCTTGTACCGGCGCTTTCTGGCCATGCGAGCATTGGCGCTCGGGGAAACTTTTCCGGCTGCTGGTTTGGCTTTGTGGACCAGGCAGCACATTTTAGGGAGAGCTCCACTCTGCTTTGGAGTGTCCTCTAGCTTTGTGTCCGCTGTAGCCGGGTGGAGTTCAAAAAACAATTCAATTTTTGTACTGAAACTCACCCTGTGTTTTCTTGTCAGCCTTGTCCTGGCTACTATCGCTCTGCATATCAATTGGAGTCTTCTCGGTTGGAGACTGGGGAGCAGCTGTCTGCACCTCATTATCCACCTTCTCCTTGTCCTGCTTGGACTGCTTCTCTTTGGTGGGAACGACAACGGCTATATTTCTGGGCTCCTTTTGTGGAATAGCCACATCGTTTTTGTTTGCCGAACTCATTCTACAAAATTCCAAAAACCAACAAATTTTTAACAGAAATGTTTAAATATTATCTCGAATTTGTTCTCTCCGAGGTGAACTCTACGAGATACTCGATACAACTGGGAAATTCAACTGTGCCCAACGAGCACACTTCAAGCTGAAAGCCATAGCCTGCTTGGTTGAATGAATCTCACACAAAAATGAAGTTAGTTAAGTGAAGTGTTTCGAGGTAGGAGTAGTCGGAGATGCTTGGCAGGCTCATGGCCCGTTGCAGACGAAAGAAAGTGCGTGGGACAATGATGACGATCGGCAGCCCCAATGCAATGCGAGAGAGAACGAAAGCAGCGTTAGAAGGAGAGCGCAAGAGCAGTTCTGGCTGCTGCCAAGCCAAGAGCGAGTTCGAGTTCGACTTCGAGTTCGAGTTCGACTTCGAATGATGGGCAAAGAGTGCAGCAACGAAGAAGTAGGAGGGATAGATAGACGAAAGAACGGCCGCTGCTGTCCATGACTCATATTCGATTGCAAATAATAAACAGTAAATGTGGCTTCATGTTCGTTGCTACTTGGAGACTTTAAAGCGGCATTAATATTAGGCTGGCAAACCTGCCAGTTGTCCAATCATCCGCCCTAACTCACACTCTCTCTCGCTCGCTCTCTCTCTCTCTGACCCCCTTTATCTTTCTGCTCGTTCTGGCTGTTGTGCAAGGCAATCAAGCAAATCTCTGCGCTAGTCAGGTGCAATTTTGTTATTCCGCTTTCAGCTGATTACGTAACGTAAGCCATGTCGTGTCGTTAACCATTTGCACCCTGCCTTTGTTTCGTTTGCGTTTGCGTTTGCTTTTGCTCTTCAGATGGATGGCCGCACCTCCACAGTGGAGACTCTACTAAGCTACCAAGTATCAAAGACTCCGATGGCAGTCCCACAGGAGTGGACATCCCAGTGTGAGGGCCGCTGGCTGTGTGCATCTGGAAAGTTCTTTACGAATTCCATGCCAAAGTTATAATGACCTTTTGGTGTCCAGCCAGTCAGAGTCTGGGTTCAAGCAGAGTTTGAGGTCAATACAGCGACAGCAGCAACAGCAGCCGCAACAGCGGGAGAGTACAGTCAATCCCTTTTCTCCCCTCCCAGCTTCACCCATCTTCAATCTGAATCCCAATCCCAATCCCAATCCGAATCGCAACTTTCCCAATTCCATTACCAATCCCAATCCCAACCCCATTCGGAATTTCTGTTGCAGCTTAGCGCGTAATTTTCTATGAATGCAACCGCCAAGCGGCGCTGGACCACAGGCGGTCAGCCCCACATAACGAGACGAGACGAGACGAGACGAGACCGTGCCACATGTATGGTAAATTAACACCCCCACACCACCCCCCTCTAGCAGGGGTAAGCAACCACCCCCTGGAGCAGCCAACAAAAGTCAGGCCATGCCACTGCCGAGCTGCAACTGTCGCATATTGAAACGTTAATCGCATTGCTCCTTGCAGAGCTGCTGCAGGATGCAGGATGGACACCACCACAGACTCTGGCTGCTGCTCCGGCCTGGACTTTTGGGTTGAACGTTGCCCAGAGAAGAGAGAGAGAGAGAGAGAGAGAGAGAGAGAGAGAGTGGCAGTCGCAGTCGCAGTGGCCGTCATATTTAGTTTTCCTTGACGCTCACAGCTCACACAGCAGGATGTCCTTACAGCAGAACTCCTCCTCGGCTTTGGCCTCTCCTTCTCCGGAATGGTGCCTCGTTCCGCAGCATCCCCATACCCGTGCCCATGCCCAAGCCCGCCTCCGAAAGCAACGTTTGCGATGATTACTTTTGGTGGTTGTTGACTGTGGTGAGTAGCGCCCACCCACTTGCCACTGGCCACTTGCCACAGCACCCCGCCACCCGCCACCCCGCCACCCCAACACCCTTCCGGACAACGCTCCTGCTCTCTGCAACGCCCCTTTGTTGTTCGCCCTGTGGTCAATGACATTTGCTTGGGAGCAGCAAAGGCAGCGAAGAAGCAGCGAAAAATCAATGCAACAGCGACACTGCCCACCCCCCGAACCCAACTGCCATTTCCCCTCTCCGATTGCTAGAAGCATCTGCCGCTGCTGCAGCAGGGCAAGCAGCAGAGCCTCTCCCACCTGCCAGGCAACAATTTGTTGGCTGGACTACTGGCTGGCTGGCAAGGGCAAGTGGCGCTGGCTCCCCACTTGAGCTAGAAAACATATTTTACAATTATCATAAATTTCGTTGGTGTACTTTTTTTTAGCACGGACAATTTATAGGCACAGTTGTTTCGATAATTGGATGGCGTACTTCATTTTTGTTCTTGCTGCAAAAACATGAACAGCGACAAGGACCAGGCCAGCAACGCCCTAGAATGGGAAGCGATGGATCTTAAACTTTAAACAACATTTGGCAAGCGATTTCCGAGCTATACTTGGGGCATGGCACTCTCTTTTATTTCTAGAAACCCCTTGTAGACTCGCCTATCTTCTGAACATAGATTGCCACTTGCTCGACACATAAGTAAGAAGTGTTCTCCCCTCTGTGGAAGCATCTCAATTCGCATCTCGATTGCATCTTCTGTATGCGATAGTAAATAATTTGGACACAACTTGTGCTGTTTTGGATGCAATGTCTCACATGTAAATTCCACCTCAAATTACAGCCCCTGTTCCTACTGGGCATCGCGAAAGAGTGCACCTGACACAAGGAGGCACAAGGCACACTCGATGCAAAGAGAACCTTCTGTTTGGGGTCATTATCCGCACAAGTACTCTTCATTTGATACCTGTCAGGCCACAGGCAAAGGTGTGTGTGTGTTGTTGGTGTGCCTGACCACTGCGAGCGCATTTCACCCATCAAATTCCTTGGCAAATTCCAAACAAATCGAACCTCAAGTTATGGCGAGTGCTGCTGCTTATGCCGCAAGTAAATCAAATTCCAGAAATTTGCCAACGGCTTTCTCGAACTTGTCGCCCGCTGAGAAGCGAGAAGTGAGAAGTGACAGGTGTGAAGTGTGAAGTGAGAAATGAGAAATTGCGGTAGCAACAAGTTCTCCAATGAACCGCATGCCTCGCATTCTTACCTGTGTGCTGCGGCCTCTTCCGGCTGCCAGGCTGCCCCGTGTGCCCCGTGTGGCAGACAGGCAAATCGTGGCGCGTTAATTGCCCTTCATAATTGACCAAAAAGGACCTGCCTACCGCATATGTAGGCGGCAGCTGAAAAGCCAAAGAGACGAAGCGAGATGAAACCGCAGTCGGTTCCCATTGCTGACCGCAATCGAAGAGAGCCATGCGTCCAGCTGCCACTGCCAATGCCACTGCCACTGCCACTGCAAGCTGCCACCGAATGGCAGTGCCAATTGCAGCATTGCTGATAATTCTTGCGGACATTTTTCGCATTGCCTGGAAACAGGACACAGGACACAGGACACAGGACACAGGAGAAAGAAGAAAGCAGAAAGCAGAAAGGAGAGAGCAGTCATGACCGTGCCAGAGCCAGGCGCTGGCCGAGATGACAACATCGATGTTGATGCATCCAATTAAGCGAGCAATTACCAAGCACCAACAGACCAAAGGAGATACGAGATACACACACACACACACACACACACATAGACAGAGCGCGAGAGAGAGGGGAGAGAATGTGCCTGGAAGTCATACTCGAATTGGTCTCTGGTCTTTGGCCTCACGCCACGACTCCATGGGGCGAGGGGAGGGACATCAGGTGACTGTCAAGTGGATAGGAAGCAGCCGAGGGATCTCGTCTTTCGCTAATGAGCGGACATGTTCGCTCGAGGCATACCCTAACCACGAGGAGAGTCCGACAATCTTCAGGGAAGCTTCTGGGGTCAGCAGAGAGAGAGAGAGAGAGCGAGAGTCTCCCCAATGTATGCCACTCCAAGTCACTTACAGTCCATTTCCATTAACTGTTGCAGAAAGTTTCATTTTTTGTTGTATTTGTGGTAATTAACTTTCCTCCTGCGTCCTGCGTCCTGCGCCCTTCTGTCTTCTGTCATTTAAAGTGATATTTATCAACGTTGTCTACTTTTAGGCTCATTTGAATTTGCATTTGACAGAGTGTCCGCACTCCGTACTCTGGGAACTGGAACTGGAACTGGGTGTGGGTGTGGGTCGAGCGAGGCGTGTCGCCCGTCCGATAAGTTGGCCCTGTTTTTATGGCTTCCAAGCCGTCGGGTCGCCGGTCGTCGGTCGCCGGTCGCTGGGTGGAAAGTTGTTTGTGGCCCTTGTGGCGCTTTTCATTTCATTTCATCAATTAACCAGAAGGCAGCAAAACTGTGTGTGTGTGTGTGTGTGTGTGCTTTACCCTCTAATTAGCATCCACATAAACAGAGCAAAAATCCTATTAGCACCCGCATTCACTTCCTGCTGTCCCCGCCATCCTGCCACGCTGCACAACTCACTCCATTGGAGTGTTGTGAAAAAACCATAAATACTTTGGGCCAAAGGACATCGCAGCTCATTAGCAACTGGAGCTGCGTGTGGGTGTGGAATATGTTTTGGGGCTAGGGTAGGGCCAGAAACATTATTTGAGTAAAGCGAAAAGTAAGTGGCGATCATCGAGTATGAATGTGCCTGCCATTTGTGCGTTTCAGGCACGAGTTGCCATCGATGCAACGATCATGCTCCTCATGCACGAAAATGCTTTCCTGAGCAGAGCGATCAAGGGCCTGTCCCTTGTCCTTTTGTCATTCCCTCCTGGGTTTAATTTTTTTGCATTGTTGCTGCCATTCTTCTCGTTGACAATGGCACTTTTCTCTGCCCCTGCCCACCATCCCTTTCCGTGTGTGTGCCCCCGAGGAACCTTTGTCAATGTGGAGTTCATTTGCGAGTTCCTCTCTGGCTTTATCTGCACTCCAGGCCGGGTGTCCATTAAGCCCATGACCACTCCAGGCACTCCCGTCCCTGAATGCTGAATGCTGAATGCTGATCCCTGCTCCAGTTCCCAGTTCCCCAGTTTAGCATTTCCACTTTCACATCCCACATCCCACATCCAGTTCCAGTTACGCATCCCGGCCGCAATCCACTGTCCCCAGTGTTTGTTCTGCCTTGAGCTGTCCCTGTTCCTGTCCTCCATCCATCCATCCTTCCCCATTCG